ACACTTCCTGTCGTGTTCTTTCTTTGGGGGCTCACATGAGGCGTAATTAGACTGCGAATATTTTGGCCAGGGCCTCCGTTATAACAATTTGGCGACGCATTGCGCAGTAATATCTCGGCCTGGGCCTACGTTATAACAATTCTCACATCTTAGATACATCAAGTTCTCAATAAGATCACGTCTAACGGATGAAAGCCTCAACGCTTGCATGAAGCTTAACCTCATAAACTACCGACCAGACTATAAAACCCTCAGCGAATCCATGCAACACCAGAATTCACTTTAACAATGATTATTATAAGAACATCATTTAAAAGAAGAAATTCAGAGGCTTATTATGCCCGCATTTCATAGAATTTCATTTTAAAATATACTATATGGCTCTTTCTGAAATATATTTCCAAATACTTGCTTTCTTGGCTCTCTGAGTTAAAAAGGTTGCCGACCCCTGTCCTATACGGATGCGAATGTTGGGCTATGCGCGTGGAAGATGAACGGAAGCTGGAAGTCATCGACCACTATTGCCTAACCCGCTTGTGTCCGGTTTCGAATTTGATGTAATAAGACCGGAGACGGGATCGGGCGCAGGTGGTTGGCGCGGCGTGAGCCTGCGCCTAAGTACGCCAACACGCCCCCAACCCCATGTTCAGCAGTTTTTATGGGAGCGCAAATATAATAACGCCTGCCATGCCGTGCCCTGACCTAGCCCCGTGTCGGTCCAGCGCATCTACAACGCGGCCCGTTTAAAAGGCACAACAAATATCCGACAGCCCGATCGTCGATTTCGACTAAGCCCACCATATGTCACAACAGGGTGTTGCAGGGTTGGTGACTTGCGGGTGAATCAGTTTTAAGTGATAGTAGACTTGCGCGCATCTACTGCACTCGCTCTTCCCTCACCCACCTGTGCCCGGTGTCAAGACATAGTCAATAAGACCGAGGGCAGGATCGGGCGCAGGTGGCTGGCGCGGACAAGGCCTCCCCTACGCGTGCCACCACGCCTCCTCCCTGTTCGGCATTTGGTGTCGGCGCGTAAAATGAATAACGTCTGCAGAACCTTGATCTGGCCTCTATGTTGGTTCAACGCATCTATCGTGCGGCCTGCTTAGGGGGCCGACAACAAATATCCAGTTGAATATACACACACACAGACCGCACACAGGGCACGCAAAGACAGTCAAGTGTACCATCGGACCGTTTGCACTCACCGTAAAGATGGCTACCGCGGCACCGAGAAGCATGCCGGCCAGGACGTCACTCCAGTGGTGCTTGTAGTCTGAGACCCGACTCAGACCTACATAGAAGGCGAGCGCGAAAACGGTAGTTTGTAAGAAGGCCTGTAGGACAGAGGCGACTCCGATTCTTGGCATTCGGTAGTAGAGGTAGAGCTGTAAATAGATAAAACAGCACACAAAAGTTCATAATAGTTGAAAAACCAGATTGAACATTCATCTGATATGTCTTCTCGGGCCAAAGCAAGATTCCTTTTGTGGTTGGCTTAATTGCAGAACGTCAAATAGCGAGTTCAGGTGGACACGAGTGGGAATGAATGCGAAGGTTCGCGTTCCAGGTGGTTACATTATTAAATCAGAAGACTGGTGGAGCACCGAAGCAGTGTGTTTGTTAGACCGTCGTGCGTTCGACGCTCGAGTGGAGCACCAGTTTGGGTCGGGTATGACGTGTTGATGACGGCTAATGAGCCAGAAATTGCCATTCCAGCCTCTCTTGTCTTTGTCGGCAATACTATCTGCCCATACTACCACGGTATGACCTGTTGATAAAATTTTACAATTGGCAACCGGTATTCTTAGCCCTTCTTCGACCGCCGGAACGTGGTGTTTGCGATTTGAACGATATGAACTATCTACAAGAAGCCGATTGTCGGTGCACACCAATTCCGTCAGTGTCACAAGGGGTATCAACAGAGACCGTCTGGAACTTAACTTTTCTTAAGTCAATCAGTCTTAAACCTTTCATTTTGTTATGCGCCGGCCTAGTACTTATAATTCACCTGAACCATATGCCTGCCCAACTGTTGTCCCCCAAAACAATGACACAAAAGAGAAGGAGAAGACGATCGGCCACGAGGAAAATGTATGTAAAACCAGCAATTCCTTCGCACCGAAAGGCTGCGTGTATTAATAGCATTCCGTTCCAATTTACTATGTTCTGTCCAATGCGCTTCAAGAGAAAGGTCTGGGAGAACTCAGCCACTTGTTGCACATATGGACCAATCATATCCGACGAGAGTTCTGTGACCACAGCTAAGGCGGGACGGTGTCGTTTGCACGTTCATGGCATGCAGCGTGGGAGACACGCGCACGTGCTTTTCCGACAGATTGACACCAGAATTTACACGCTCAGAGGGATTAGAAGGAGCCTTCGCCGTCTGACTTTCAGTCCAATCATTAGCCACTACAGTCAACTTTTGATTGTGTTTGTAAAAGGGTTTTAGAGAAGATACTATCGCTGAAACATGGCGTTTACAGGCCTGACATTTCGGATTTTCGTCCAGCAAGACCGGCAACACTTTCAATTTTGATGAGGTTAGAAGTTTCGCATAGGCTGACAACCGTGTGATCCGTGAACTACTTGAGTCTTGGTCCTCTGGCCCGCAGTCGATTAACAAGCGTAATGAGCTTGCGGCCCCACAGCCCCTGCTGAGACATTGATTAGGCAGAGTAATTAGCCATGCGGGGAGGCGAACGCCGGTGGCAAAAGATTCCAGTGACAGCGAACCACACTGTCGAGTCATCATCATCACGCCAAGAATCGAGAACCCTACTCAAATTTCAACGGTTAACGAT